TAGGGTCCAATGAATCTAGGGCTAAGCTTCCCTTTCTTCCCGAACCGTAGGACCTTCTTCCAAGGTGAAACCTTCAAGAATACCATGTCACCAACATTGTACTCTATGTCTCGTCTCTTTAAGTCTGCATAAGATTTCTGTCTGTCCGAAGCGGCGCGGAGTCGGTCTCTGATCACACGAACCTTCTCCTCGGTATCCTGCACAATATCTGGTCCCTCGAGCTTACGCTCGCTAAGCTCTGTCCAACAAATCGGGGTTCGGCACTTTCTGCCGTAGAGTGCCTAATACGGAGCCATCTGAATACTCGCCTGGTAACTGTTATTATATGCAAACTCCATCAACGGCAAGTAACGCTCCCAATCTTCTCCAAAGTCGATCACACAAGCTCGCATCATATCCTCGACAATCTGTATCACCCTCTTAGATTGGCCATCGGTCTGAGGGTGAAATGCCGTACTAAGGTTCAAAGCTGTGCCAAAAGCCTTCTGAAGTCCTCTCCAGAACATCGAAGTGAATCGGGGATCTCTATCAGATATGATTGACAGCGGTGCACCGTGCAAACGAACTATCTCTCTAACGTACAAATCTGCCAATTTGTCTAAGGAAGAGTCACGTCTGACGGGTAGAAAATGAGCGGACTTCGTCAACCTGTCAACAATGACCCAGATGGCGTCATTCTTTCGTGAAGATCGTGGTAATCCGATCACAAAATCCATAGTGATCCTTTCCCACTTCCATTCCGGAATGGTAGGAGGGTGCAACAACCCTGTCGGAACCTGGTGCTCAGCCTTGACATGCTGACAAGTCAAACAGCGCGCAGTGAACTCGGAGATTTCCTTTTTCATAGCTGGCCACCAATAGGATTTCTTCAAATCCTCATACATCTTGTTACTACCCGGGTGCATAGTGTATACGGTTCCGTGAGCCTCGCGCAACAAGCGATCCCTCACTCCACCGCGGGGCACCACTAGGCGTTCACGATAGTACAAGACTCCGTCATTGCGAATTGCAAACTCGGGCCTCTTTCCTGTAGGAACTAACTCTCGAGTCTTCTGACAAAACTCATCATCTCTCTATGCTGTACGAATCTCCTGCTCTAACGGAGACTGAACCTGTAGCTCGACTAACGATTTTCTGCTCAAAGCATCTGCCACGATGTTAGCCTTGCCCGGGTGATACTCAATGACTAAATCGTAATCCTTGATTAGCTCCAACCATCGACGTTGTCTAAGATTCAGTTCCTTCTGGGTGAGTAGGTACCTCAAACTCTTGTGATCGGTGAAGATGTGAATCCTCTCTCCAAAGATGTAGTGGCGCCAAATCATCAAGGCGAACACCACGGCTGCCAACTCTAAATCTTGTGTCGTGTAGTTCTCCTCGTGAGTCTTCAACTGTCTCGATGCGTAGGCCACTACCTTACTCAACTGCATCAGTACACAACCTAAGCCGCTATGAGATGCGTCACTATAGATGGTATACTCGATGCCAAGAGTAGGTTGAATCAAGACTGGTGCCTGGGTCAAGCACTCCTTTAGTTGATCAAAACTGCGCTGGCACGCTTCTGTCCACTCAAATTTGATGTCCTTCCGCAGTAGCTTGTTCAACGGAGTAGCGATCGAGGCGAAGCCCTTAACAAATCGACGATAGTAACCGGCTAACCCAAGGAAGCTCCTCACCTCACGAACATTCCGCGGAGTCTTCCAGTCCACTATGGCTGAAATCTTGCTGGGGTCTACCTGGATACCAGTGGCAGAGATAATTTTGCATACAGCTTGTGCAATTTTGCATACAGCTTGTGCTCTCTCAACACACTCAAAACCAATTGCAAATGTTTAGCATGCTCCTCCTGAGTCCGTGAATAAACCAAGATGTCATCGATGAACACTACTACGAACTGGTCCAAGTATGGCCGGAATACACTATTCATAAGCTCCATGAACACTGCCGGGGCATTAGTCAATCCGAAAGGCATGACTGAGAACTCATAATGCTCATAGCGTGTCCTAAAAGCAGTCTTCGGAATGTCTTCTCTCTTAACGGAAATCTGATGGTATCCAGAACGTAGATTGATCTTCGAGAATACTGTAGCCCCTCTGAGCTGGTCGAACAGGTCGTCGATGCGAGGCAACGGATAACGCTTCTTCACTGTGGCTTTGTTCAACTGCCTGTAGTCGATGCAAAGTCTCATGGATCCATCCTTCTTTCGAACAAATAACACCGGTGCTCCCCATGGGGAAATGCTAGGTCGGATGAATCCCTTTTCCAGTAGCTCTTGCAACTGAGCCTTCAACTCCTTCATCTCGGCAGGTGCTATACGATACGGTGTAGCAGATATGGGTTCCGTACCCGGAATGAGACTGATCGAGAACTCTACTTCTCTCAGCGGAGGCAAACCAGGAAGGTCTTCGGGAAAGACATCGGGGAAGTCGCAAACCGTACGGATGTCCTGCTGACGTGGTGATTCTTTTCGCATACTCGCACTTCTTGCGACTCAAGCGCCTCGCGCTCATGGACGATATGAACTCGGGAGCCTTAGGGAACACCTCCCCAGAGAGTGATACGTCGCTACCGTCCTCGGCTCTCAACCGTACGGTCCGACAACTGCAGTCGACCACTGCTCTATGCTCGGTGATGTTAGAATAAAAGACCAACGCTAGAGGGGGGGTGAATAGCGTTTGATCGGAGAAATCGCAGGAATTAAAAATTTAAAAGAGAAGTAAAGAGAAGAGTAAGAGGCACACCGAATTTTACCCTGGTTCACCACAACTTGTGGCTAATCCAGCCTCCCGAGAGACTCTCTCGAGCTACACTACTAACTCGTTAAGCTTACGGGTGCTTAACAAACCGTTACAACTTGAGAGTTCGAGTCACACGAACCTCAACGAATCCTTCAAAGGAAACAGACCTTCCTTTGAATCAACCGAGAGAGATACTATCTCTCAACGTGTCTAAGAACACAAGTACACTCAAGAACGAGACTCTCTTATAGAGTAGATTATGAGTAAACTAAGTACGCTCAAGAACAACTCAACCTTCACACAAGTGGCTCTAGAAAGCTATGGAAAATGATGATATTTGAATGCAATGAAAGTATAGATGTTGTGAAGTGAATTGGTGAGAAAAGCAGACCCAAACACCCCTTTTTATAGTGCCAAAGAAGGCTCCAACGGACCAATGCATTAAAGGGGTGATTGGCTTGATTTATGGGATTGAAAAGATTTGGGATATT